TGAAAGTGTAGAAAGATGGCTTAGACAAAATCATACTGTGGATAGCATTTATTCAATCAGATGTGGAATGTGAAGGGTTATTATGATTCCTCTTGTTTTGACATATGGACAGCACATATAGATGCTCATAAAATACATAGAGAACATGACCTTGGTTAGCACTACTAAATCACAGGAACATCAAGTGATTTGGGGATAACAGGGAAACTCTATGTGGTTAATTCTCCCCTTTGACCCATTCTTTTATGCCATAATCTTTCCCCAAACATAATCACAAACAGTAACCTTGCGAATGTAAAGAAATAATTCCATTTTCAATGATTGATCCATTATCTTAGTTGTTGCTATTTTTGTTGTTGGAGGTGGTAGTGTGCCATGGAGTCAGTTCTGACTGATAGCGAATCTCTATAGCGCTTCTGAGGCTGTAAATCTTTACTGGAGCAGAAAGCCTCATCATTCTCCTATGACACAGCTGGTAGTTTTGAAAAGCTGACTTTGATGTTCATTTCTACAACTATATAAAAAGGGTGAATGACAACATCTCTTTAATATAGTCATTCTGATTATTCTAATTCAAGAAGAAAAGTACTTGGTAATCAATACATATTGTTTGTATAGTAAATGTTTCTATATATGCTGAGAAGACAACCTGGGGTATTGTAGTTATTCAATTAGTAATATTTTTGTGAAATAACACCAGGCTGTATTCATGCTAAAAAAAGGAGAAGTAATATTTTAGTACTTTTATATAGGAGCATATTGAAGGTCATAGGATGTTAATGTTATATCCAAGGGTAATAATACACAAGCAGTTATTAGAGCCAGACACGAAACCCAGATCACATGTTGCTAATTACCACAAATAATTTATGACTTTATTAATATCGATAAAAGATTCCAAGGTAGTATGTAATTATCAAAGGACATGTTAAGTATTGAAAAGACTTCAAGTTAAGTTGTTGTTAGAGAAATAACTGATTTTAATTAAACATAAGGTAAATTCAAGGTATCCATTATTTTTTGCGTAAAAATTTGCGAAACTGGTGAGACGAGACAGAACACAATTTCCTCACCATGTTATGTGGATCTTAGCAAAAAAAGTAAAACGTATTAAAAGTCTGATAAACTTTTATAAGTGTGTTACAAAAAAATAGCCCACAAAATGTGTCAATGTTTTTTGCTTTTTTTCTTGGTGGTTATGTGCCTTGGAGTAGGTTCCAACTTAGAGTGACCCTGTACGGGGTTTCCGAAGCTGTAAATCTTTACGGGAGCAGAAAGCCTCTTCTTTCTCCTATGGAAGAGCTGGTAGTTTCAAACTGCTGACCTTGTGGTTCGCAGCCAGATTCGTAACCACTACACTACCAGAGAAAATAGCATCAGTTATAATGTTGTTGTAAAATAAGTGCCATCAAGTCGGATCTGACCCACAGTGACCCTGTATAGGACTTCCGAGAAACAGCTGGTGAGCTTGATCAGCTGACCTTGCAGTTCAAGACAACTTTGCAGACCAGCACACTAACCCATAGTGCAAATGCCATTACCACAGCATTTCTGAAATGCAGTTTATGTGACCTCTCATTTCCCTTAAAAATGACTTGTTGTTGTTAAGTGCCATCGAATTGATTCTGATCTGTAGCGACCCTTCATAGGGTTTCAGAGGAGTGACTGGTGAGCTTGTACTGCCGACCTTGCAGTTCAAAGGTCTTTGTAGTCTGGTGCATTAACACACACCGCTGAATAACTTAGCATGGTATTAAAAAGGATTAAAAAACCTCTGGAGGGAGACACAGCTTTTATTGCTATCCTTCCCAACTCCCTGCCTACTATATAAGGGTAAAGCTTGAGGAATGTGCTTCTGCACCTGGTTGTCAGGCTTCTGAGTTTAGGAAAGGGACAATGAATTGGGGTATTGTGCTACTAATCTGGGGGCCTGTTCCTGAGTAAGAAAATTTAGGGGTGCTCTTTTTGGTGCCAAGAGCTTTGTGTCTATGTGCCTTCCTCCATCTTACACAGATTGAGAAGTCATACTTGTCTACATCACATATGGCAACTTATAATGCAGCCCATCCCTTCCTGAGCACTCTCAGCACTGGGATCTTAGAAACTCTTCATCAACCATCTAGGGTACAACTATTCGTGGTCTCTCCATGTGTGGAAGAAAGAAGAGTGATGAAAACTTGAAGCTGCTTAGAATCAACTTGTTCAATGGACCAATGGAATATATGAACACCAAGACTCTGAGGCTAGAAGAACTAGATAATGCCTAATTGCCACTACCAACTACTCTGAAAGGGATGATATTGGAGGTCCAAGATAGAGTGGAAGAAAATGAACAAATTCAAATGAAAATTGAAAAAGACAGGGATTACTGGTCAGAAAAAGACTGGAGGAACCCAAGAATATGACCTTCACCCACTCTTCAGGTCTAGAATCAAACTCACCCTTGTGACCTAATTTTCAGTCAAGCAGTAGATAGTTATATAGGGGGCGGGGGGCTTAGTAATACTAGTAAGCTCACCATGGAATGACTAAAATATCAAGATCAAAAGAGCAACATTTACCTAATGCAAAGTTGAGAAGGGGTGGGATGGAGGGTGGAATGTACATGAGAGTCATGGAGAGAGAGGGGTTTTAATGGCTGTCACGTATAGGGGATTATAACCATTGATATGAAACAAAAGTGTATAATTAGTTGAATGTAAAACTAATGATCTTCATTTTTTCTCAATGAGTTAGCCTCCAGAATACAGGGGATGGTGAACACCATCACAAAACCTAAGCCAAAATGGGAAAGGAAAAGACTCATATCAACATCATTGTTATTGGGCACGTCGATTCCTACAAATCAACCACTACTGGTCACTTGATCTACAAATGTGGTGGAATCGACAAAAGAACCATCGAAACATGTGAGAAGGAAGCTGCTGAGCTGGGGAAGGGCTCCTTCAAGTATGCCTGGGTCTAAACTGAAAGCTGAATGTGAGCAAGACATCACCATTGATAACCCTCTGTGGGAATATGAGACCAGCAAGTACTATGTGACCACCATCAATGCCTCAGGACACAGAGACTTTATCAAAAACATGATTACTGGAACCTCACAGGCTGACTATGCTGTCTTGATTGTTGCTGCTGGTGATGGAGAACTTGAAGCTGGTATCTCTAAGAATGTTCAGACCCCTGAGCATGTGCTACTGGCTTACACACTGAGTTTGAAACAGCTAATTTTTGGTGTTAATAAAATGGGTTCCACTGAGCCACCCTACAGCCAGAAGAGATATGAAAAAATAGTTTAGGAAGTCAGCACCTACATTAAGAAAATTGGCTACAACACTGATGCAGTAGCCTTTGTGCTAATTTCTGGTTGGAATGGTGATGATAAGTTGGAGCCAAGTGCTAACATGGAACACCTAAAGTTGCAGATAATTCAAGGGATAGTTCAAGGAATGGGTAGTCACCCTTAAGGATGACAATGCCAGGGGAACCACATTGCTTAAACTCTGGATTGCATCCTGCCACCAACTCATCCAACTGACCAGCCCCTGCATCTGCCTCTCTAGGATGTCTACAAAGCTAGTGGTATTGTCACTGTCTCTATGGGCAGAGCAGAGACTGGTGTTCTCAAACCAGGCATGCTGGTCACTTTTCTCCAGTCAGTGTTACCACTGAAATAAAATCTGTTGAAATGCATCATGAGACTTTGAGTGAAGCTCTGCCTGGGGACAATATAGGTTTCAGCGTAAAGAACATCTCTGTCAAAGATGTTCGCCTAGGTAATATTGCTGGTGACAGCAAAAAAACCACCAATGGGAACATCTGAGTTCACGGCATAGGTGATCATCCTGAACCTTCCAGGATAAATCAGTACTGGATATGCACCTGTGCTGGATTGTCACACAGCTCACATTGCTTGCAAGATTGCTGTGCTTAAGGAGAATGACCACCAGTCTGATAAGAAGTTAGAAGATGGCCCCAAATTCTTGAAGTCTGGTGATGAAGTTGAAATTGACATGGTTTCTGGCAAGCCTATGTGTGTTGACAGCTTCTCAGACTACCCTCCCTCCTCTGGGTCATTTTGCTGTCCGTGATATGAGACAGACTGTTTCTGTGTGTCATTAAGGCAGTAGACATACAAAACAGGTGCTAGAGCTGGCAAAGTCTCCCAGTCTGCTCAGAAAACTCATAAGGCTAAATGCATATTACCTTTAACACCTGCCACTCCACTCTTAATCAGTGGTGGAAGAACAGTCTCAGAACTGTTTGTCTCAATGGGCCATTTACGTTTAATAGCAAATGACTGGTTAATGGCAGTAATTCACCTTAAAACCTTCAGAAGGAAAAGAACATTATGTGGACCATTTGTTGTTTTTTTGTGTGTGGCAGTTTTATCAGTGTTTAGAATCAGTACTTTTTCAATGGAAACAACTTGACCAAAATTTTGTCATGGAATATTGTTGTTGTTGTTGTTGTTGTTAAGTGCCGTCGAGTCTGTTCCGACCCATAGCGACCCTGTACAGGGTTTCCGAGGCTGTAAATCTTTACAGGAGCAGAACTCCTCATCTTTCTCCCGCGGAGCGGCTGGTAGTTTCAAACTGCTGGCCTTATGGTTCGCAGCCCGATTCATAACCGCTACGCTACCAGAGCTCATTTAGGACCCATTAAAACAAAATAATGAGAAACAAACAAACAAAAAAGAATGATCTCTATAAACCTTCACTCAATTCACAATAAAAGGTAACAAAAAAAAAAAAAATACACAAAGTTTTATAAATGTAGATATGGGCCTATTCAATAGGAATACTCCAACTATTTGGAAGGAGAGCGGTGGCTTTCCTGAGAAGTAGAGATGCATTTTAATGAGGTCAGATTAATATACCTTAAATTTTTTTGCAAAACACACATACAGAACTTGCTGAAAAGATTTTATTTGGGATAAAGAAAGGAAGTGAAGAATAAGTTACAAAGATTAACAGCAATCTTCTTAAAGATTTCTAAACAGTTTATGAGCTTTTTTTGTCTTTGCGGCAGCACCGTTTTAGAGCAAGATTACCAAACCCACAGTTCCCGATGTGATTTTCTCTGACACGGCAAAATCCACTTCTGCAGTAGCAGGTACGTCTCCTTGTCAGGTCTGGTGAATCAGAGAAAGCATTTGGTATTGACGGTTCATTCAGGAGTGTGTTATAAGCAGAGGATCATGAACAACTTACATGTTGGGTTCAGTGGATGTACCATATTTATTAATCTAAGGCCCACAGTAATGATCAACCATAATAGGGTAGCTAGAGGTAAGTATACTAAATAGGAAATGTTGCCACATAGGATTAGAAACACATTCTGATATTGCACATATTAACACGATGCTACAGATAAATACAGGTTTAGATTGTGCAATAGCAGATGGTTCTTGTCATAAGAATAGGAGTGGCAGGTACAGTGAGCAAGGAAGGAGGGAGAGGTCAAGCCAGACTAATGGCGATGTGATTAGGAGCCTTATGTCTACTTAAATAGACATAATACATGCCCTATTAGCATGGATAGAATTTTCATTTTGTCATAAGTCAATAGAAACCTTGCTGGTTATATGTTGAAATTGCAGGGTCAAAGTTCCCCTATCCCAGTCTATCATTTGCACACTACTCCCATGCCTTATAATATTATCCTTATGTCAAGCATAGCCTCCATGTATTATCAGATCTTCTAATAGGCCTACTGCCGTTGTCCTAGCTGAAGGTTCAGAGTTTCATTAGCATATGTAATGGAACCAAATTCTTTAGTGAAGACCAGTCTCTATCTCTAATGCATTTGTTTTCTAATGATTCCATGGGTAACTTGAGACACAGAGGAGTAGGATCCCCCTATAGCACACTGATCTCACCTGAAGCAACTTGGGCTGAGCGTTTGTCTTCTGTAAAAGAGACTTCCACATCTTGGTCCTCTATTCCAGACTCATCTTGGAATGGCTCCACATCAACTGTTTCTGTGAGTGGGTCAGCCTGGGCCAGAAGGACCAGCAGGAGAATGGCAGAAAGCAGGGCAAGAGTCCTCATGGCTGTGGGTCACCTGGAGATCAGTGTCCTGTATGGAGGAGCAGGAGACTGAGTGTGTTGACCAGTGAATAGAGTCGATCAGTATTTATATGTCTGTTAGGAGGAGCTCAAAGATGAACAATCTAGTTAGGGGAGAGGTGTATTTGATCTGAGGATTTTGCTGGAGGACTGCCATTTACCTTCAAAGCTTCTTTGATGTTACTCTGTTTCAACAAAGCCTCGTTGTTGCGAACGTTGGAGCAAGATGACAGTGATGTGATGATAAGGGTCTGAAGTGTTTCCCTGCTTTCCATCTGCCTGAATATTTGCCTCTTCATATTCAAAAAGGAAGAGAAACAATGCTTTCATTCAAGTAATTTCAGGGCAAAGTGTCTTTCATATTCTGAAGATGGGCCTTGCTGGGAGTTTAGACCCCTGGTTCAGACTACGGACCTAATAGAGAATTAATTCACTGTAAGACTGAAGGGTTGCTAATCCTGCCATGAAGAAGTCTTTCAAAGTTTGAGAGCAAGTAGGCTCCTGTCAGGACCGTTGTGGTGATTTCAATGACCCAATCTCTTTTCTGGTCAAGTGAACTTCAGATTCAGTGCCATGGGGATTTTAGGGAATGAAATGGTCAGACTAAAGCAAAAAGATAGACATACACACACACAAAATATTTACTAGTTACATCTCTTCCCTTTGAAAGTTATCCAACTGTAGGATATATACACAGTCCTATTTTGAGTCTGAAATCTTCAATTAAAAATTAATGCATGCACATACAATAAAATTTAAAAGAAGAAATAGCAGTGAGTAAAAATATTATCAATTTCTTCTATCCCTTATACCAGCCCTTCAGCTTTGTTTTTGAAAACCTTAAATAAGGATATACATTATTGTACACCTTGATTTATTCCTTTAGTGATAAATTTTGGATATCATTGTTGCTATTGATGTTAGGTGCCATATAGGCAGCTCCAAATCATAGTGACCCTATGCATAACAAAATGAAATACTGCCTGGTCCATGTACATCAGCATAAATAGAGTTATCTTTTTATAAAAAGAATGTTATCATATTCCAGTGTTTATGTCTAAAATTCATTAGCTATGGTGTTAGTGTTTGGAGTCCTGGTGTGGTGCTATGAGATAATGAACTGGAAAATATCTCTTTAAAGTGTTAAAAAGTAGAGAAGTCATTTTGAAGACTAAAGAGACAAGACTGTGATATTCTCAGTAGCCTACTAAAATGGGAAAGCTAGACAATAAGTTGTTGTTGTTGTTGTTAAGTGCCATCAAGTTGGTTCTGATTCATAGTACAATAGAATAAAACACTGTCTGGTCCTGCCCTGTCTTCACAATTGTTGTTTTATTTGAGTCCATTGCAACTGCCACTGTGTCAATTCCCTTTTTTTTCACTGACCCTTCATTTGATGAGACATGATGCCCTTTCTCAGGAACTGGTCTCTCCTGATAACATGTCCAAAGTATGAGAGATAAAGTCTTACCATCCTGGCTTCTTAGGAACATATTCGCTATACTTCTTCCAACACAGATTTGTTTGTTTTTCTAAAAGTCCATGGAATTTTCAATATTCTTCATCAGCACCATAATGCAAATGCATCAGTTCTTCTAGTGTCTCCCTTATTCATTGTCCAGCTTTCACATATGAGGATGTTGAAAATACTGTGGCTTCTTGGTGTCTACATCATTCAATATTATGCCCACATTTTTGTTGTTAAGTGCCCTTGAGTTTGTTCCAATTCCTAGCAACCCTGTATAAGGTTTCCTAACAGTGACTGGTGGGTTTGAATCACCAACCTTGTGATTAGCAATAAAGTGTTTAACCTTACAGTACCATACAAGGACTTCATTTAGCCCACACAATCCTTCAATATTGCAAGTTGATGGAATTTTTCTTCATTTCTTTTATCTTGAGAAATGCTGAAAGTTTCATCCCTTTTGATTTTCTATTCCAGGTCTTTGACATTTCATCATAATTGATTTTCTCTTGTTTATCTGTCTTTTGAAATTTTCTATTCAGCTCTTTGACTTTCTCATTTCTTCCATTTGCTTTAGCATCTCTATGCTGAAGAGCAAATTTCAGAGTCTCTTGTGACATAATTTTTGTCTTTTCTTTACTTTCTGTTGCAGGGCAGCTCATTATATGACTCTTCTAGCCAAATGTCTTCATTTTATCATGCATTGTAAATCCAAACCTCACTTCTTATGAATATGGACCTATTTAGAAATGAGTTACTAAGGAATAAAGACTAAGATGAGGCTAGGGAGTAAAGTAGAACTCTGGGTTTAGTACTGTAGGATAAGCACTTGACTGAAATCCAAGGATGCTTGGAATTACTTTGCAGAGTCATGAGTCAGAACTGACTTGATGGCACATAAATGCAATAACACAAAGTAAGTAAAGATTACAATGGAATTAAGGATTAAGGATGCCTCCACTTTACTGTGGCTTAGATCAGCACCTTTCATTTTCCTTGGGGGCATGGACTGATTCCAATTTACAAAAGTGCTTTGGACAAGATTACTCTCTAGCCCTGGATCAGACTTCTGGCTCATTATGTCTGACCTCCAGTGCACAATACTTTCAGCCCATCATCTGACCTGGTCACTAGCTCTCAGAGTCTCATGAATTAACAGCCTGTCATTGTCTTGCCAATTTGGGTTCTTCAACTTGTGAGACTATGTGCTCAAGAAAATTCCTCCAGATTGATGTCTGAATTATGGATTTGGCACTTTCCAGCCTCCACAATTGCATGAAACATTTCTTGTGAATTTTGTGAGACATTGTAACATTTTTAGAATCCTGGTTTTTGAGGGCCTTGAAGATAGGGAGGAATGGTGATTGCTATCAAGGATTATCGAATGGAATACCATGTTGGAAAACTCAAACAGCTGGGATATCATTAGTCTCCAACTCATAGGTACCGACCTTGTACCTATGCTTTTTATAAAATAAATTTTTCATGTGTCTTTTTAATGACTTTTTGCTTTCTTTCTATATGATGTTCTTGATGTCATTTCACAGTGCTTCTTATCTTTGATCACTAGTGTATAATGCATCAAATCTGTTCTTGAAATGGTCACTAAATTCAGGTGGTATAGTTTCAGGGCCATATTTAGGCTTTCATGGACTTGTTTTAATTTTTTTTTAACTTCAGCCTGAACTTGTATTTGAACAATTGATGATTTGCTCTACAGTTGGCCCCTGGCCTTGGTTTGAGTGAAGATATTGAGCTTCTTCATGGACTCTTGCCAAAGAAATAGTTTTATTCCTGTGTATTCCGTCTGGTGAGCTACATGTGAAAGTCACCTTTTATTGTGTTTGAAAAACATATCTGCAATGAAGTCATTGGTATTGCACAATTCTATCATGCGATATCCAGCATTCTTTCTATCATCAAGGCCATATGTTCCAACTACTGACCATACCTCTTTGCTTCCAACCTTCTCATTCCAATCACCAGTAATTATCAATACATCTTAATTGCATGTTTTATCAATTTCAGACTTTCATACATTGTGAAATATTAATTTTTTTTTAGGTTACCCTATATTCTGTGAACTTTTTCTTCCATTTAAAATCATTTATTTTATCCACAATCTACCTGACCTCCTTACCACCTGGGTCTCTGTTCCTATATTTTTACCTTCCTTTACACTGAAATTGTTGTGATCATAAACTGACCTCCCAGGTCCTCTGAATTCAATCTTATAGTTTTGTTCTGTTCTGGACTCTTCCTTTGATCCTGTTGATTGAGTTCCAGGTGGTGCTGCCACATATGTCAATCCCTGGTTATTGTCTGTTGTTGTTATTTCTCAGTACAAAGAACTCCCTTTAGGATGTTTTGAAGTACTGGGTTGGCTTTAACAAAATTTCTCAGCTTCTGTTTATCTGGGAATGTTTTTATTACACCATCATATTTGACTGACAGCTTTGCTGGGTAGACAATTCGTGGTTGGCAGTTTTTTCTTTCAGGGTTTTATATATGTCACTCCATTGCCTTCTTGCCTGCATAGTTCTGCTGAGAGATCAGTTGTTGTTGTTGTTAGTTACTGAACCATAGCAACCTTATGCACAGCAGAATGAAACACTGCCCGATCCTAGGCCAACCTTACTACGTTTTTGGCGCTTGAGTCCATCAATGCTGCCACTTGGCCAGTCCATCTCGCTACGGTATCTTCATCTTGTTCTCTGACCCTCCACCTTACCAAACATGATATCCTTCTCCAGCGACTGGTCCCTCCTGACAATATGTCCAAAGTATCAGAGACGATGTTTGGCCCTCTTGGCCTCTAAGGAGCACTCTGGCTGTACTTATTCCAAAATGGATCCATTGGTTCTGTTAGCAGCCCATAGCACTTTCAATATTCTCCTTCAACACCATAACTCAAAGGCATCAATTCTTCTACAGTCTTCCTTATTCACTGTCCATCTTTTGCTTGCATATGAGGTTGTTGAAAATACCATGGCTTAGGTCAGGTGCACCTCAGTCCTCAAGCTGACATCTTTGATCTTTAATACTTTAAAAAGGTCTTTTGCAGCAGATTTGCCCAATGCAATACATCATTTGATCTCTTGACTGCGGCTTCCATGAGTGGTGATAGTTGATTCAAGAAGAATGAAGTCCTTGACAACTTCAATCTTTTCTCCACTGATAAGAATGTTTTTTATTGGTTCAGTGGTGAGGATTTTTGTTTTCTTGACATTGAGATGTAATCCATACTGAAGGCTGTGCTCTTTAATCTTCATCAGTAAATGTTTTAAGTCCTCTTCACTTTCAGCAAGCAAGGTTGTATCATCTGAGTACCGCAGATTGTTAATGTTAATTGTTTGGACTGCTCTTTGCTGGTTTTTAATGTTCCAATGCTGTATCTATCTTATTAGATTGTTACTGTAATGCTTTTCTGACTTCTTCTTTTATTTTTCTCACTCTGTGGAGTGTTTAGATGCACTTCAATATTATTCTCCCAAATTCCTTCTCAGGTAATTCCAAA